CCAGCATCAGGGTATTTTCCAGTGAGTCAGTTCTTCGCATCAGGTGGCAAAAGTATTGGAGCTGCAGCTTCAGCATCAGTCCTTCCAATGAATATTCATAGTTGATTGGTTTGATCTCGCTGTTCAAGGGACTCTCAAGAGTCTTCTCCAACAATACAGTTCAAAAGCATCAATTCGTTGGTGCTCAGCCTTCTTTAAGTTTGAACTCTCACATCCACACAAGACTACTGGAAAACCATAGCCTTCACTTTATGGACCGTGTTTGGTAAAGTGATGTCTCTGCTTTTTAATACACTGTCTAGGTTTGTCATAGCTGTTCTTTCAAGGAGAAAGTATCTTAATTTCATGGCTGCAGTCACTGTCTGCAGTCATTTTGGAGCCCTCCAAACTAAAGTCTCATTGTTTCCATTGTTTCTCCATCTATTTGTTATGGAGTGATGAGACTGGATGCCATTCAGTTCAGTTCAGTTTAGTCACTCAGTTTAGTCCATGGTGTGCTACCCCATGGACTGCAGCACACCAAGCCTCCCTGTCCATCACCAACTCCCAGAGTTTACTCAAACTCATGCTCATTGAGTCAGTGATGCCATCCAACCATCTCATCCTCAGTCCATTTCTTCTCCTCCCTCCCTCAATCTTTCTCAGCATCAGGGTCTTTTCAAATGAGTCAGCTCTTCCCATCAGGTGGCCAGAGTACTGGATTTTCAGCTTCACCATCAGTCCTTCCAATGAATATTTGGGACTGATTTCCTTTATGATGGACTGCTTGGATCTCCTTGCAGTCCAAGGGACTCTCAAGAGTCTTCTCCAACAACACAGTTCAAAAGCATCAATTCTTCAGCACTCAGCTTTCTTTATAGTCCAACTCTTACATCTATATATGACTATTGGAAAAACCATAGCTTTGACTAGATGGACCTTTTTTGGCAAAGTAATATCTCTGCTTTTTAATATGCTGTCTAGGTTGGTCATTATTGTAATTATAATTTCAGATGCCATTATCTTAATTTTTTGAATGCCGAGGTTTAAGCTGGTATTTTTGTTTGTTTGTTTTTTTACTCTCCTTTTTCACCTTTAGTTCTTTTTTGCTTTTTGCCATGACAGTGGTGCTGCAGTAGAAATTACTAGGCACTCAGTGTACAACTCCGAAACCTCAGTTTTGTTTTCAGTAAACATCCTGGTCCATTGTCCGGAATTCCTGGAATGTGTCTTTAGTCTGATAAATTATCAGCACTTAGATCCAGAGAAGAGAGCAGCAATTAAACTCTGTTCCATGTGCTTGAGGGAAAAACAACTGGTGATCATTAACCTTAAATCCATGCATTTGGCCCATGGTAAAATGGACAGAGGGCATGAAAAAGGGGGGTGACTTAATCCAAGGATCAAAAGAAGTAATAAAGATGATGCTAAGTATCTTGATCTTTAAATTGAATGTTTAGAAATAATGTGATTTAAAGGAAGGGTATCAAAACCACCTTAGGGTGACTCTTTACCCCCTCTCTATGCTGAGAGCTTTGCACTTTCCTCCTCTTTAATAAATGTTATTCAATTACTACCATGAGTGTTTGCATGTTCATGGATTCCATTTTTGCCTGCGTGGAAAAGAACTCAGATTCCTGTCTCATCTTTTGGGGGCTCATCTGGAAATCCTGAATACCTACTCAAGGTAAGCACAGATACTCACTCTCGACTCTGTCATTCACTTCTCATTACCTAATCTAGCTGTGTGGTCTCTTGAGCCACTCTGTTTCACAAGCCTGCACGAGTCCCAAAGGCAGACAGAGTCAGTAGACAGCGGCCTCAGGTCTCGGTATTAGCCAGTAGATTGGCGGGGGTGCTGAGCAAAATCTCTACTAAGCTGCTGCCTCAGTGAGAACCACAGGACATCTACCATTTCTCTTTCCTGACATTTAGAGGTTATAAGATTTTTCACTTAAGGTAGGATCATTTTGGAGTGTGTGTAAATACTACTAACCTTGTGCACTACATAGCTTGCTTTAGGGGAACTCCTGTTCAGGCACACCCAATGTTCAAGAGCACAGTGAGTCCACCAACCTAGGCTCTCACTCTAGGAAGATAAGAGATAGGAAGAGGACAACAGTCAAGGGTAACTGGATAATGATGATGAAGACCAGGTACACTCCAAAGTTGAGGGAAGCATACTTTATTGGTGTTTCTTTGCTCCCACTGTGCAAGGTGGGGACACCCTCTATTAGAAGAATCGGAGAAAAGACAAAGAGCACTGGGTGCTGGGCTTCTGTCTTTCAGATGGGAGCAACCTCTTCATGCCCTACACCCAGCTCAAAGCGGATGCCTTTGGCAAGTATACTGAAGAACTAGAAGTTTAACCCTTAGACCGTGGTAAAAAAGAGTATGATCTTTTTCTGCACCAAGGCATAGCCTCAATAGGATCTATCTGATGGTGAAAAACGGCCCGCTAAGGGCTCATTTGGTTATAATACCATCCTCCAACTAGACCTATTTTGTAGACAAGAAGGAAAATGGTCAGAAGTGCCATATATACAGGTTTTTGTCTTGAGAGAGAAAACCCTCTAATCCAGGAGTTGTGGGCTTGCTACTTCCATGCTGCCTATAACTTCCTCCAAGTCCTCAGGTCCAAACTGTCGCCCTTAACCAGAGCTGCCCAAACCTAGCCCACAGGAGCTTCCACAATCTCTGGTAATGCCTTGGGCACCAGCAACAGCTCCCACCCCAGTGTCTCCTAACCCAATACTGGTGATCTCTAGGCTATATCCTTCCCTCCTTCCATTACAAGAAGCTCCTAATGGGGACTTGGGAGCCACAGGAGTCCATGTTCCTTTCCCCCTCTGAGATTTAAGGCAAATTAAATTAGACCTAGAAAGCTTTACTGAAGATCCTGACAATTATATAAGTGTTTTCCAGGGTCTAAACCAATCTTTGAAATGGCATGAAAGATATTATGCTAATCCTGACTAGCACCCTTACTGACAATGAAATAAGTCATAATTAAAATGCCCAGGGATGGGGAGATGAATGGTATGCTACTAGCATGCAGGGGAGACCTGACAGTGAATCAGCCTGGTTACCTACAGGGCTCCAGGCAGTGTCCACAGATGATCCTAATTGGGCACATGACAAAAGCGGTGATGACTGGAAGAGAGTTCACTTGATCACTTGCATTAAGGAAGGCTTAACAAACTCACGAGCTAAGTAAGCCCTTAGACTACTCCAAACTATCTGGAATGACTTGTGGAAAAGGAGGAAATTCACACAGCTTTTCTGGAAAGGCTTGGGGAAACACTGAGAAAGCACACTTATTTGGAACTAGATGCCCCAAACTTATCCTGAAAGACAAGTTTATTACTCAGTCAGCTCCAGGTATACAGAGGAAACTCCCAAAACTGGCCTTTGGCCCCCATATAGATTTAGACGGCCTCCTTGAAGGAAAGTAATACTGCTCAAAATAGCCTGGAGTTAAAACTCCCCTTCAGGTCCTCCCCACCATTCTATGCAAAACAAAGAACTCTGACCCGAAGAAAAAAATGGACATTAAGGTTGATCATGCCCAGCTCCCAGCTGGTCCCAGCTGGTCTCCAGAATGCCTTACCCCAGCCGTTTAGGAGATAACTATTCCAAACCCTTCCCTGGCTTCCCTGTAGCTCAGACAGTACAGCGTCTGCCAACAATGCAGGAGACACGGGACCAATCTGTAAGTTGAGGCGATCTCCTGGAGAAGGAAATGGCAACCCATTCCAGTATTCTTGCCTGGAAAATCCCATGGGCGGAGGAGCCTGGTAGGGCTACAGTCCATGCAGTTGCAAAGAGTTGGACATGACTGAGCAACTTCATTCACTCTAGACAACCTTAGAGAAGAACAGGCCCCCTTAACAATAGATTTCCACATATATGCCTATGTATACTTACTCTTTCCTTGGGTTAGTGCAGCAGCTCACTAATCTGACTGCTTCCCCTTCTTGCCTCACTAAAGGTGAATTTGTTCTGTAAAGTGCCGGTCTCCTTCTTTTTCTGAACCTCACCTCCTCTAACTCCCTTACCCTACACTGGTAAGAGCTGCCACATCAGTATTCTTAAATCGTAATCAGGATGAACCTAAGGAAAAAGAGAATAGTGATAAGAGAAAGGCCAAAGATCCCATTATGGCCCTACAGGGAGTTAACTTTAGGGCTACAAAGGTGGGAGGACACAAGCAAAAACCTGGAATCTGTTTCTGTTGTGGCAAGGATGGAAACTTTAAGGAACAATGCCCCAAAGGCAAGCAGAGGCCACCCCCATGGCCTTGCCCCACTTGCAAGTGAGATCACTGGAAGAGTAACATGCCCAGGGATGCAGGTTTCAGGGGTCAGAAACTCAGATCCAAGATCAAGATTGACAGGGCCCAGGGCTTCCCATTTTGGCCCCTGTCCTCAGCACCACACAGGAGCCCCAGGGAACTCTAACTAGAGGAAGGAGGAAGCCATCCTGTTAAATTCCTACTTGATACAGGAACCACTTTCTCAACCCTCCTGTGTAATCCGGGTTCTCCTACTAACTCAGTTACTAAATATGGCATTTCTGGAAAGCCATTACAAAATTCTTTACACAACAGTTGAGTTGTGACTAGGATTCTATTATTTTTCTCATGTGTATACGTGCATGTGCTCAGTCGTGTCCGCCTCTCTGACTACGACCCCATGAACTGCATCCCACCAGGCTCCTCTGTCCAAGGGAGTTTCCAGGCAAGAGTACATGAGGGGGTTGCCATTTCCTCCTCCAGAGGATCTCCCCCACTCAGGGATCGAACTTGCATCTTTTGCAACTGTCTGCTTTAGCATGCTGATTCTTCACTACTTCACCACCTGGGAATCCCAAGTGAGCAGAGGGCGCCTGGCATGCTGGGTGTGGGGTGAAAAGCGGTGGCAGTGAAACCCCATGATGTGAGGAAGGGGGACGGCGATCACCCCAGGCCGGCCAACCCACTCCAACCGCGGCGAGGCGGAACAATCCCCCATGCTCCGTGCATGAGGGATGCAGCGCTTCTGCCCCAAAGTTCTGATGGGGAGACCCTCGTAGAGGGTCCGGCGGGCTCGGACGTGGGACAAGGACACCAGCCGGGCACATCTGGGACAGCAGTGGCACCCTCGCTTCCACCCCTGCCCCCCAAGGGGGCGGGCGGTACAGGCACGGCAGCCAGCCGGGGACTGCGCGCTCAGGCGAATGCACTTCAGTACGAGAAGGCTAGGGGCACGTGTGCTCCTCCTGGTCCAGCACATGACGTCAGTGGACAGAAGATGGCAAAGGGCAACAGAGCAGGGCCAAGGTTGGCCCGGCGAAGCGAGACACACCAGGGCGCAGCCCTGGGGATCAGCAGACAGGACGGACGAGTCACTGATGGAGGGCAGCCATGTAGGCCCATGTGCCAAAGACACAGCAGTGGCACAGACCGGTGGTGGAGGTGGTGTGGCCGCGAGCGACAGCGAGTGGCCCGGAAGCCATTCCAAATGATCCGGAACTGCTTCCGCGTCACACCATGGGATCTCACCGCCGGAAGCCTCCAGCATAGGAGTGGTCCCCTGGGCCCCAGAACGGATACTTCCCTTCCTGAGCCCATGGGGCCCCCATGTTGGGGCTTGCACCCACCACCGCCAACACCCAGAGCCCCAACAACTGGTCAGGGAGAACGTTCTCCCGCTGCATACTGGCGCCTCCACAGCCCTCACGCGCAACCTGCTGTGCCCAGCTTCACCCCTCGGGGATTGAGGGCACTTCTCTGCCCGGGAACGCCACCAGCCACGGAGACCAGGGAATGACACCCACATGAGGTGAGGCCGGTTAGGTCCTAAACAGGGCAAGGGGGCACTGGGCGGTCACCTGTGTGGGGCAGGCTAGGAGGAGGGAAAGCCGGCAGTGACAGGGAAAGGCAACAAGCCCGCACATAGAGGGCGGGGGGACAGGGGCACGTGCGCCGTCTGGTGATCAGAAAGACCGAGTCACGACCGGCCACCAGGAAAACGAGGGTGCCACCACCACACACACGAGGCTGGTCCCGTGATGCCTGGGACTCTGGCCAGCCTCCGCCACCCTCAGAGTCTCCCATGACCTGGCTTCGCCACCAGGCCAGCAGGCCACAGGCCCCCTTGTGTAGCTGAGGGGCCCCCTCCACCCATCTCATCCATTCATCTGCAGCAAAACCCCTGTCCTAGGAAGATATTCTATCTAAAGTGTAGGCTTCACATGGAAAAAAGTTATGCTTACCTTTGACAGAAGTAGAAGTTAACCCTGAAGTCCGGGCAACCAGATGAAAGATAGGAGCCATCTCAGCTCAACCGGTACAGTTCAGTTCAGTCGCTCAGTCGTGTCTGACTCCTTGTGACCCCATGAATCGCAGCACGACAGGCCTCCCTGTCCATCACCAACTCCTGGAGTTTACTCAAAGTTATGTCCATCCAGTCGGTGATGCCACCCAGCCATCTCATCCTTTGTCGTCCCCTTCTCCTCCTGCCCCCAATCTCTCCCAGCATCAGGGTCTTTTCCAATGAGTCAACTCTTTGCATGAAGTGGCCAAAGGATTAGAGTTTCAGCTTCAACATCAGCCTTTCTAATGAACACCCAGGACTGATCTCCTTTGATGGACTTGTTGAAACTCCTTGCAGTCCAAGGGACTCCCAAGTGTCTTCTCCAACACCACAGTTGGAAAGCATCAATTTTTCAGCACTCAGCTTTCTTCACAGTCCAAATCTCACGTCCATACATGACCACTGGAAAAACTGTAGCCTTGACTAGATGGACCTTTTTTGGCAAAGTAATGCCTCTGCTTTTTAATATGCTATCCAGGTTGGCCATGACTTTCCTTCCAAGGAGTAAGCATCTTAATTTCATGGCTGCAATCACCATCTGCAGTGATTTTGGAGTACAAAATCTTCACTTTCTGCCATAAGGGTGGTATCATCTGCGTATCTGAGGTTATTGATATTTCTCTTGGCAACCTTGATTCCAGCTTGGGCTTCACCCAGCTGGAATGTTTCTCATGATGTACTCTGCATATAAGTTGAATAAGCAGGGTGACAATATACAGCCTTGACATATACCTATTCCTGTTTAGAACCAGTCAGTTGTTACATGTTCAGTTCTACCTGTTGCTTCCTGAATTGCATACAGGTTTCTCTAGAGGCAGGTCAGGTGGTTTGTTATTCCCATCTCTTTCAGAATTTTCCACACTTTATTGTGATCCACTCAGTCAAAGACTTTGGCATCATCAGTAAGGCAGAAATAGATGTTTTTCTGGAACTCTCTTGCTTTTTCAATGGTCCAGCGAATGTTGGCAACTTGATCTCTGGTTCCTCTGCCTATTCTCAAACCAGCTAGAACATCTGGAATTTCATGGTTCACATATTGCTGAAGCGTGGCTTGGAGAATTTTGAGCATTCCTTTGCTAGCGTGTGAGATGAGTGCATTTGTGTGGTAGTTTGACCATTCTTTGGCATTGTCTTTCTTTCAGATTGGAGTGAAAACTGACCTTTTCCAGTCCTATGGCCACTGCTGAGTTTTCCAAATTTACTGGTATGTTGAGTGCAGCATGTTCACAGCATTGTCTTTTAGGATTTGAAATAGCTTTCCTGGAATTCCATCACCTCCATTAGTTTTGTTCATAGTGATGCTTCCTAAGGCTCACTCGACTTCTCATTCCAGGATGTCTGGCTGTAGGTGAGTGATCACACCATTGTGATTGTCTGGGTCGTGACAATCTTTTATGTACATTTCTGTGTATTCTTGCCACCTCTTTTAAATATCTTCTGTTAGTTCCATACCATTTCTGTCCTTTATTCTCCTATCTTTGCATGAAATGTTCCCTTGGTACCTCTGATTTTCTTGAAGAGGTCTCTAGTCTTTCCCATTCTGTTGTTTTCCTCTATTTCTTTGCACTGATCACTGAGGAAGCTTTCTTATCTCTCCTTGGTATTTGTTGGAAGTCTGCATTCAAATGGGTATATCTTTCCTTTTCTCCTTTGCCTTTCACTTTTCTTCTTTTCACAGCTACCTGTAAGGCCTACTCAGACAGCCATTTTGGATTTTTTGCATTTCTTTTTCTTGGGGATGATCTTGATCACTGTCTCCTCTACAATATCATGAACCTCCATCCATAGATCATCAGGGACTCAATCAGATCTAGTCCCTTAAATCTATTTCTCACTTCCACTGTATAATGGTAAGAGATTTGATTTAGGTCACACATTAGCGGTTTAGTGGTTTTTCCCTACTTTCTCCATTTCAGTCTGAATTTGGCAATAAGGACTTCATGATCTGAGTCATAGTCAGCTCCTGGTCTTGTTTTTACTGACTGTATAGAGCTTCTCCTTCTTTGACTGCAAAGAATATAAATCAATCTGATTTCAATGTTGGCCATCTGGTGAGGTCCATGTGTAGTCTTCTCTTGTGTTATTTGAAGAGGCTCTTTGCTCTGACTAGTTTCTTCCCTTGGCAGAACTCTATTAGCCTTTTCCCTGCTTCATTCTGTACTCTAAGGCTAAATTTGCCTGTTACTCTGGGTGTTTGACTTATTACTTTTGTATTCCAGTCACCTATAATGAAAAACTCATCGTTTTGGGGTATCAGTTCTAAAAGGTCTTGTCAGTCTTCATAGAACCGTTCAACTTCAGCTTCTTTAGTGTTGCTGGTCAGGGCATAGACTCAGATTACTGTGATATTGAATGGTTTGCCTTAGAAACGAAGAGAGATCATTCTGTCGTTTTTGAGATTGCATCCAAGTACTGTGTTTCGGACTCTCTTGTTGACTGTGACGGGTAATCCATTTCATCGAAGGGATTCTTGGCCACAGTAGTAGACACAGTGGTCATGTGAGTTAAATTCACCGGTTCCAGTCCATTTTAATTCACTGATTCCTAAACGTCGATGCTCACTCTTGCCATCTCCTCTTTGACCACTTCCAATTTGCCTTGATTCATGGACCTAACATGCCAGATTCCTATGCAATATTGCTCTTTACAGCATTGGACCTTACTTCTATCCCCAGTCACATCCGTAACTGTGTGTTGTTTTTGCTTTAGCTCCATCTCTTCATTCTTTCTGGATTTATTTCCCTGCTGATCTCCAGTAGCATTTTGGGTGCCTACTGACCTCAGGAGTTCATCTTTTAATGTCCTAACTTTTTGCCTTTTCATCCTGTTCATGGATTTCTCAAGGCAAGAATACTGAAGTGGTTTGCCATTCCCCTCTCCAGTGGACCACATTTTGTCAGAACTCTCCACCATGACCCATCCATCTTGGGTGGCCCTACACAGCGTGGCTTAGTTTCATTGAGTTAGACAAGACTGTGGTCCTGTAATTAGACTGGTTAGTTTTCTGTGACTGTGGTTCCAGGCTGTCTGCCCTCTGATGCCCTCTCTCAGCACCTGTCATATTACGGGGGTTTCTCTTACCTTGTGCAGCTGTGCAGTGCTGGAGCAGCGAGCAGCTGGGAGACGATACCCCACGTCCAGTGCCCAGGAGGAGATACCCCAAGTTCAATGTCAGGAGTAGTGACTGTGATTTGCTGGAGCAGCCATGAAGAGATACCCCATGTCCAAGGTAAGAGAAAGTGGCCAAGGTCATGAAAAAGGTAGTGGTATCTCAGGACCAAGATCAGTTCATTCCTCAGTCCTGTCTGACTCTGTGACCCCATGGGCTGCAGCATGCCAGGCCTCCCTGTCCATCACCAACTCCCAGAGCCTGCTCAAACTCATGGCCATCGAGTTGGTGATGCCATCCAACCATCTCATCCTCTGTCATACCCTTCTCCTCCTGCCTTTAATCTTTCCCAGCATCAGGGTCTTTTCCAATGAGTCCGTTCTTCCCATCAGGTTTCCAAAGTACTGGAGTTTCAGCCTCAGCATCAATCCTTCCAATGAATATCCAGGACTGATTTACTTTTGGATAGACTGGTTTGATCTCCTTATAGTCCAAGGGACTCTCAAGAGTCTTCTCCAACACCACAGTTCAAAAGCATCAATTATTGGCCACCCATATCCAACTCTCATGTCCTACATGACTACTTGAAAAGCCATTACTTTGACTAACACATCTGTGGGCAAAGTAATGTCTGCTTTTTAATATGCTGTTTAGGATGGTCATAGCTTTTCTTCAAAGGGGCAAGTGTCTTTTAATTTCATGGCTGCAGTCACCATCTGCAGTGATTTTGGAGCCCAGGAAAATAATCTCTGTCACTATTTCCAATTTTTCCCCATCTATTTGCAATGAAATGTTGGGACTGGGTACCATGATCCTCATGTTTTGAATGTCAAGGTTTTTTTTTTCTTTTTTTTTTTTCATTTATTTTTATTAGTTGGAGGCTAATTACTTTACAGTATTATCGTGGGTTTTGTCATACATTGACATGAATCAGCCATGGAGTTATATGTATTCCCCATCCCGATCCCCCATCCCAGCTCCCTCTCCACCTGATTCCTCTTGGTCTTGCCAGTGCACCAGGCCTGAGCACTTTTCTCATGCATCCAACCTGGGCTGGTGATCTGTTTCACTATAGATAATATACATATTTCGATGCTGTTCTCTCGAAACATCCCACCCTCGCCTTCTCCCACAGAGTCCAAAAGTCTGTTCTGTACATCTGTGTCTCTTTTTCTGGTTTGCATATAGGGTTATCGTTACCATCTTTCTAAATTCCATATATATGTGTTAGTATGCCGTAATGTTCTTTATCTTTCTGGCATACTTCACTCTGTATAATGGGCTCCAGTTTCATCCATCTCATTAGAACTGATTCAAATGAATTCTTTTTAATGGCTGAGTAATA